AGGAGGAGCTGGGGCTGAGGAGCAGTTGGGGCTGAGGAACAGCTGGGTCTGAGCTACAAATGCACCCTTTGTTCCAGGCCTAGAGAGGAACAGAAGCCCAAGAGCCGGGCTGCAGACCCAGCAGCAGGGGGCAAGATTCCAGCCCCACTGTAAGACGGCCATGTCCCATCAGACTGCTACTCCTCAGACAAGTTCCACACTGAGGGTCTGGGTCGGCCGTTCCCACAAGGCCAGAGTCAGGCAGCCAAGACCCAGGTGGTCACATGTGGTCAATCATGTTCTGGCCAGATGTGGATCAGCCAGACGCATGTCAGCCACACAGGCTCCACAGGGGAGTAAAAGAAAAGCCGGTCACACACATGAATTTCCAGAGAGCACTCTGAGGGAGGGGGCTTCGAACGGCACCCACAGAAGCACGTAGGTCAAGGATGACTCAGGAATTAAGAGGCCGCTGGAAGCCCTTACACCCACCCCTGCCTTTCTCTTGTCACTTTCCACTCGTGGTCTGATCCCTTCTGCTGCATTCTGAGTAGGGGGTCGGGCAGGCATGCAGGTGCCACATGATGGGGGCAAAGAAAGTGGGCTTGCCTCTCACTCAGAGACTGGGCTGTAAAGTCAACAGGCCCCACGAGAAAGGCAGAATCGCCCGAGAAATCGCCTGGATCCAACACGCTCCCTTCACCTGCCGTTGCTACCGATTTGTTTACTTACCCAGCTGGGCCCTGAGGAAGGAGTTGGCTTGCATGTAGAGGCCATGGATGTGTACAATAAGTGATAATCAACATTAGGCTCACAGGGATGGAGGGGACAGAAGGTCCGTGGTGCCGTGTCATGGGGTCTGCGTTCCTGGGGTACATGTCCCTGGGGCAAGGTGTCAGGTAAAACCACTCACATGGCTTGGGCCACCCCTCTCCTCTCTCTAACAGAATATAATTGCCTTTAGGTGAATTAAGTGCTAGAGCACGACCCTCCACATCCGCAGGTGAGATGGGTCTGACGCTCTGTGGGGGTGCGCACAGCTCTGGGTCCCAGGCCCCAAGCGCAGGTCCATTCCCGCCCAGGCCGCTGACTCAGGCTCTCGGACACGTGCTGCTCCGGGAGCAGGGAGGTGGGAGGTGATGCAGGGTGTGCGGAGCTGGCTCCCCCGGCTCCTGGGAGCTGGCTGTGCAGCCTCTGGAGAGGGTGTTCAGGACCCGAACGTGCCTGACTCTGTCAGGGCCGTCCCACAGGGGCAGCTTGGCAGTGCCCACGCCCACAGGTGCACAGGGAGAACCTGACGCTGCGGGCACTGGTTGTGAAGTCAAGTGGAAGGGGCAGGGGACAAGCTGGGGTCTCCCAGGTGGGAGGCATCTGAGCCATTTGGAAGACCGAGTGCGACGTATTGGTCATCTCAGAGACCGCGTTTCCCAACTGTTGGAGCTTCGTTGTAACAGAGACTCTCTCCTCTTCCTCAGCATCGAAGTCCTGGGTTTTCAGGGAGACAGTGTGTTCAGCGAAGAGACTATATTTCTGGCCTCTCAGGTAGAGGCGGTCCATGCGATGGAAGCGTAAAGGACCGGGTAGAATTCGTGGAAAATCTCCTCAAATGGGTTGACTTTGTCAAGAGGAATATTTCCCTGTCTTCTTTCTTCCCCTCTTTCTTCTGATTGAAACATAGACGTGGTGGCTGGAGCACCAGCATCCATTCCGGGCCATGAGGACAGAGCCAGGGACTAAGGATGACGTGTCAGAAAGACAAAAGGAGCCCGAGCCCCTGACAGCATGACAGGGCGCTCCCGTTGTACAGGCCTGCACTGTCCCACTCAGCGCTTCTCTAAGTGGCCTCTTTCACTTGAGACAATAAATCCCTAATTTGTTTAAGGCACTGTTATCAGTAAAAAGCAGTTAGGGGTACAGTCCCTAAATAGCACATTCAGATTTCATTTCTCACTAGAAAAATGGAATAAAATTTGGTCTAAGCTTGTTTTGGGGGTGGAGGAATATATGCTTTCTTTTTTTAAACAATAAAAGCAATATGTTCTCCTTATTTATCAGGAGGCCAAGTTCAGCAAGAGCCAGGCTCACAGGGTGAGGAGCCCACGGGGCACCTGCTCATCCATCTGACTTGGCGCCTCAGCTCTCCGGTCTGTGAGCTGCGACGTGGGGTGAAGGGAGAGACTCTCGGGGTGTCTGCATTGACTGTGGCTCACCGCACCCTGGAGAGTGAGTCTGAATTTCTGTCTGCAGTACCAGGTAGGCAGGTGTAAGGTACCCTCTGAATTTGGGGTAAAACTGGGTGTGGTGTCGATGGGCCCAGTTACCAGAATTTAGCCCAGTGCCCTTAGCCCTTGCTCCCAGTTGACCCCACCTAGAGAAACCATGCCCAGGGCATTTCAGACTGGCATATGCCAGGCTTCTCCTGAAGAGGAACTTCTACTCATTGTCAGACACGCCCCCCCCTCCGCCCCCCGTCACTTCCTCCAGAAAAGTCCCAGCTCCCTTCCCGGTGCCCTCACCGTGGTTTCGGCTGTCACATTGTAGAGGAAGTGGATGTGGTCTCCTCCTCGTTGGTCCAGGAGCAGGGACGAGGGCAGTCATGCATCCCAGCTTCCCTTGCAACTAACGCAACCAAGTAACTGAGTTCTACCCAAGGGGAATGTGAGCAAAAGGAACCCCACACCTTGCACAAACCTAGGAGGCACGTTCACACCACAAAGAAGCCATGAGAAGCGAGGATGCTGCCAGCTCAGGTGGAAGAGGCTGGCTCTGCCCGAGCCCATGTGCTCTGAAGAGATTGGCTGTTGGATGGACAACAGCGAGACCGGATCTGACCGTGGGGCTGACCGGCAGCCTCTGCAGCAGCTGGCCCGAATGGTCAGGACGTGGTCAATGACGCCAGCACTCCTATTGTTCTGTATCTGCCTCCAACTCAGGACCCGCCAGAGGGGGTCAAACATGCCGGCCAACCAAGCACATGGGATGTCCTGCCTCTAATCCGGCCGCCTGCAGCTTGCCCCTGCCTCACCCCCTTCAGGGCACACAGAAGTCTGGGCGCAGACACCTCGCTATCACAGCTCTGAGTCGCAGGCGCTCTGGCTCTCCTCTGGGTGGTCGCCATCATTCCTGCGCTCCCTCCTGCTGAGTGCCAGGCAGAGAGCTGAGGACTGGGGTGGAGGGAGCCAGCATCTCTGCTACTGTGGAAGCACCATGCATCCTGGACTGGCAGTGAGAGAGAAACACACTTCTCACTGCACGCACGCACGCACGCACACACATGCACGCACACACGGACACACGAATAGTTGGACCTTGTGCAAGTTTGCCCTGGGGAGGCCTGGGCGACAGGGTACATTTGTACCGGAATAAGAATCAGATTTTGCTGAGCAGATTCATGTACACCAGGTGTCACTGATTTAAACTAGGATTTCCAAGGTGCTTGAGCATCTTTCATTTGCATACAATGATCCCTCTGCTAATTACCATAGACTCTGACCTACTCATTAATGCAGGAGGCTGCTTAGCCTGGTGGTCTGAGAAAGCTTGTAATGCCAAGGAATGAAGCTGCCTGTGTGCACACAAGCTCGGAATGTCCATCCATTCGGACGGGGTTCTCCCCAATCCGGATAAACAAGCAAATCTCACCAGCTCTTCCTGGGGGTTTTCTTGTGTCCCAGTGTCATTCTGTCTTCCTTTGGCTAGAGCTTTGGCCGCCATGTGGACCAGGACCACGGGACACCAATACCTTTGAAGGAGGAATGTGATGGCACCTCATTAATGTCCATGTACAGCCCATCCTTCAGGCCACTGGAGGTCCAGGGCCCCAGCTTCGGGAGGCAGTGGCTTGCACTGGCCTCGCTGTCCCTTCGCCGCGCCTGCGGGGAGGCACAGAGGGGTCAAGCTCCCAGGACTGGCTTCTGGGTACCCGGTCTCAGTTATTTACCTCCTGTAATATGCGTGGGGCAGGAAGAGGGGCCGAGACACAGAACTGATGTCTTCTGTGTCCTACAGTCTTTGAAGCCAGCCTCCTTTACAGGGACTCCATGATGCCTTGTGGATCAGACAAAGCGAAGTGCCCTGGGGGTCCAGAAATTTCCCGGCGCCTGTGGGCACAATGGAGCCCTCTGGGAAGTGTCCCAAAGTGCAGTTCCTTGGGGCACCCCGTCCATGCCTCCAGGCCTCCAGCACCCCTCAAACCCGCTCACACATTCACCCATCAAACCCGCTCACACATTCACCCATCAAACATTTGCTGTGCCTACTATGTCTCAGCCAGCAACCAGCTGTACCTTCAAGACAGTCATGTGAACAAACAATGATGATCTCACCTGATAGGAAGTCTGATGGGAGCATGGGGTTTCCAGTAGCTGGAGACATGGGGCAGGGGGGACAGTCCAGCCAAAGGCACGACAGAGTCAAGAAAAGGCCCATAGGTCTGTGCGGTGGAGCAGAGGGTGAGGGAGGAGAAGCGGGAGATGACCCAGAAACTGTCACCTGGGGTCACCTTGGCACCACTTGAACTTTATTCTGAGGTCACCCAAAGCTGGGATGATACACATGCACCGGGGGCCAGGCAGAGGGTTAAATCTGTGGGGAGAGCCGGTGGAGACTGGAAGGCCGGGAGCAGCCCTTTGCTGTGCACTGGAGTGCAGGCTCTGTGTAGCCAAGCTTCCATTAAAAATAAATCCGACATGCGTATTTTTATATGAACCCTCCCAACTTTCAAATGTTACAAATTATTTCAAAATATCATGCTGGCCTAGCAAATGCATATCTGCTGTCCTCTCAGCCCCTGGGCCCCTAGTTTGGCACTTGAGATGCACAGCTTCGGCAGAGCCAACAGCCAGACTTCTGCTGCAGCAAGATGGCCCTGCAGACCTGAGTGAGGTTTCTGCCCCAACTCCGCCAGCAAGGACTTCCTTCCGGTCTCCTCCTGCACCGCCCCCTCCCTCCCAGCCCGCCCTGCCCAGAGGCCCTGAATGAATGAGCTGTGCTCCTACCTAGAGAAGAGCCAGTGTTCAGGACACAAGGGAGCCATATTTATTTCACATGGACAAGCATGTTCTGTTGCATGCTGAACATGAAAGCTCGCGTGAGGCAAGTACCCGTAACAGCAGAATTATGTGCTTTTGTCCACAGGGAGCAGGGAGAGTCACCAAGCGTTCTTCGAAGCCTGCCTCCTTCGAGCAGGGCTGAGGCCTCAGCCTTAGAAAGCTCCGGTTTATTCCCTCATCAGAGGGTCCGTCTCCTCGCAGTGGCCAGGGGGCGCATCCGCTCTGCGTCTCTTGATGAGCTGCTAAGGGCGGGAGGATGAGGACGGTGCCCCATGTCACCAGCCAGGGAGAGGAAAGCTCAGAGGGAAATACATGACACACAGAATTAGCAAGCTCACTCTGGGGGGGACAGTGACAAGGACAGACCGCTGTGCTCACAGCAACAGAGCCATCACCACAGGTAACAGCGAGCAGAACGGGAAGATCCACTCTTCCGAAAGCAACTTCCCGAGGCGGCCTACGGGCCGGAGGGCAGTGATTCGGAATTGGCTGGACGTGCCAGAAGCAGGTCAGTGTGGCCTGGGCAGACGGGGGAGAGCTAGCGGCAGGGCCCCCGACCCTTCGCCCGGGCTGGGCTCCCTGGTTCCAGGATGATGGAGTCCCAGCTGGGGAAGGCGCTGGAGCCCAGCTCTGCTGGGGGAGGGGGTCACAGGCCCCCAGAACAAACCCGTGGCACAGACCCACAGAGACCTGGCCTGTCGGAGGCCTATTCCCACCGGAAGTCCTGCCCGACCGTCTCATAGAACTTAATGTTGTGAGGTCTATAGAACTCCCGCAGCTGGTCTATGACCTCGGGGTCGATCTGCACGTGAGCCCTGCCCTTGGACTTGCCCAGACACCGCGGCAGGAGGCTCGCCTCCGTCCTTTTCAGGCAGGGGAAGCCCTTGGTCTTGTTGAAGTAGAAGTGCTTGTCGGTGAGGAACCTGCGGAGGCCCAGGAAGTCCTGCACCCGCCCCATCTCGCCCGCGGGGTCGGTGATGAGCCGCTCGCCACTCACGAAGTGGATCTGCGCGCGGGGGAAGTAGCGCAGCCAGCCCTCCAGGTGCAGCGCGTACAGGCCGATGCGGATGGCGTTCCAGGACACGTCCACCAGGCCCAGCGTGCGGTTCCGGAAGGACAGGCCCTCGAAGGTGGGGATGTCGGGCTTCTTGGACAGCGTCTGGGTGTAGTCGGAGATGGCGCGGGTCACCGGGTTGCGCACCACCACGATCAGCTTGGTGTCCCGGGACATGTTGAAGATCCGCCGAGGGGCCTCCTGGGTGACGAAGTAGCTGGGCGTCTTCTCCAGCGTGATCTGGCTCTCCAGCGTGCGGGGCATGAGGCTCCTGCGGGCAGAGCAGCAGGTCAGACAGGCTGCGGGGCGGGGGTGGGGTGGGGATGCGGGTCATTTTCCTGCTCCCAGCTCCCTATCGGGGCACCTCTCTCCCCTGTGGCCTCTGAGGCTCACCTGCTCTCACTTTATCGCTTGTTGAATTTTAGTCTTTAACCAGTTTGCTTTAAGACAGGAGGCGTCCCTCAGCATGGGTTAAATAAGTGATGGCACAGCCAGTTAGTAGAGTAGGCAGAACTATGTGTACTCATACAGAGTGATTTCCAGGATACGGCACTAAATGAAAACAGGCACCTTCATCCAGGGAAACTGACAAACGCAGTGGATTCTGGGGAGAGGCAGGGAGGATGAAGAGAGTGACTTTTAATGTATAACCTTGTACACTGCTTGAAACTGTTAATGTGGTTATTACATATTCAAAAGTTACAGAGGAGCCCTGGCCGGTTTGGCTCAGTGGATAGAGCATCGGCCTGTGGCCCAAAGGGTTGCGGGTTCCATTCCAGTCAAGGGCATGTACCTCGGCTGCAGGCTCCTCCCCTGCTGGGCCCTGGTCAGCTCGTGCAGGAGGCAACCAATAGATGTGTCTCTCTCACATCGCTGCTTCTCTCTGTATTTCCCTCTCTCTTCCACTCTCCCTAAAAACAAAACAAAACAAAAAAAACCAATGGAAAAATATCCTTGGAAAGGATTACAAAAAAAAAGATACATAGGAAGGCACTGAATATTGTTCTGACAAAAGAGACTTCTCTAAATATGTTAGAAAATATGTTTTGGGGAAAAGGCTGGTTTTGTAAATATAGCAAGTATTTTAGAAATGAGTTCTAACCACTATGCTGCACACCTGAAACTAATCCTATATAATAAAGAGATAATATGCAAATTGACCATCACACCCTCACACAAGATGGCCACCCCCATGTGGTCACAAGATGGCCGGCAGGGGAGGGCAGTTGGGGGGACCAGGACTGCAGGGGAGGGCAGTTGGGGGGACCAGGCTGGCAGGGGAGGGCAGTTTAGGGTGGCCAGGCAAGCAGGGGAGGGCAGTTGGGGGGCACCGGGCTGGTAAAGGAGGGCAGTTAGGGATGACCAGGCTAGCAAGGGAGGGCCGTTAGGGATGACCAGGCCAGCAGGA